TTAAATTCTATTGAAAATATCTTTGCATGCATCCCTATAATGCGACATTCTATTGTCCTATAATAAAATCTATTTTATTTAGTCACACTCATTTCCAATTGATTATTCATGTCTTATCTCAACTATACAAGAGTCAATGTTTATGAAAGTTCAGTGCATACCAGCAACAACAACTATTGTGCTGAGTCCATCAAACTTCTCCTATACTCACTACAGCTTTTAAAATTATATTTGAAGTATACAAGATCTAGGTCCTCACATTTGTGACGTTCTGGAACATAGGCTCAGAAGCCCTAAACAGTTTTCTGAGACTCCCGATAACACTGCAGTTAACAACTTTGCTCCTACACAACAAACTCCACTAAAGTTACTGTAAAAGATATGTAACATGCAAGGGCTGTTGAAACGCAGAAATATAATTTCTGTGAATTAGAACTATGATGGAAGAAATTGTTCCCTGCCTCACATATTAGGTGCTTTTCTTAGATCTTATCTTGCCTTTAATTCAGCAACATGTATAAACAGGTATAAACATAACAAACAAAGAACCCAAACCAAAACTGTAACTATTGTCAGAGACTGAAGATTATTTTTTTACTGTGTTTCAAAACATGTGGTTTTGGTGAATAGCTCTAGAAAACCAACAAAAACTTGCTAAAGAAAAATAAAACTCACTGAAACTAGGACCATGCTCTGAGATAACAGTAGAAAGGGAATTTTGCAAGAATTAACTTTAAAAAGCTAGAGAAAAAGACCATGAATAAAAGCAAAGACATCATCACAATTTATGTCAAGCTTAAATCACTATCAGTTTGTAGCATTTCACTGATTTCTTGTCTGTTTCCTCAGGTTACATACAGTTCCACAGATCCCATGGTAAATGTTGCTGATGCCTTGGTCAGCATTTCTCTAAAGAGTGTATAAATGTTCAAAGCCTAGGGAAGTAAGAAAAGAGCAGAAAGCAGCAGCATCCAATACTGAAACTCACATTGGTAACTAGAAAATTGTGGGAAATTACAGACCTTAGTTAACAGTAGCGCTTGATGGTTTTGTAAGTATTTAGTCTTGGATTTGGGGAAGGAAGTACACTAAAAAAGAATATAATTATCCTGACCCATAAAGTTTCTAACGGGACATGACATTTCTGCCTCTTTTTTAATCTCTCTCTTTTTAATGACATTGAATGCTTTAAAAGTTTCATCCTCTTCAGACAAAGTTTGACATTGGTTCTGCATTTAGTTGGAAAGAGATTGAGTTGGGAATACTGCATCCCTGCTGATTTAGCAGTAGTTAAGAAAGATCTACAGAGGACTTTCAAAGTCACTGAGGAAGTGCAAAAAACATTAAAATATCCTGCTTTTAAGGACAGATCAAAGGCTTATTTCAGCACTGCCAGAATAAGAATTACTACTTGCAGATTGTATATGGTAAACAAAGGAACCAATCTATTGTGCCTGCCCTTTTGGCAAAATGGGAATTTTAGTGTTCCAAGTCCTTAAAGGCTGTTATAAAAAAAAAAAAAAAATTTGGCAGTCTTCAGCCACAGGGTACATAAAACACCACCATTTCACAAAAATACCTTGTCACAGGTGCTACCGCCTCACTGGAACAACTGTGCCAGGAACATACCTTGATGCCAAAACTGGGTGAGCCACCACTACCCTACTGCTAGTACTATTATTCTTTATAATGATAATATTTTTATGAGAGAAAACTCTTCTTTTGGCACTATGGTCTCTGGGACCACAATACTGACAACATATGCTAATAGTCATGAGCAGTAACAGCAACCAACCGTAAACGCTACCATGCATACAAGCATCCTAAAAAAGAAGCATCTTGCAAAGCTATTTTCTCTTCTATTAAATTATACTAAAATCGATTAAAAAAGATGAAATCTCACACTTCGTAATCATGGCCCAGTGGAAGATTTCAGGAAGTTCTGCTGGGACACGTGTATTCTTTAGATTTATATTACACAACCCCCCAGCACCTCTATTCAACATAACTATGACAGAAAAGTCTTTCATGCAAATGTCAGACTTAAAGCAAAAGAGCTTTTCAGGCACCAAAACTTTTATTATTTGCAGGAATCATTTAAATATACTAGCCAGTATAATCTATGGTTCTTCTACAGGTCTCTGCTTGGACATTTCGTTCTCAGGGCGGTAAGAGTGCTTTGCTAGTATAGACATCACTGTTCTCTACCTGCAGTGTGCTCCTATTAGGTACTCAGGCCATACTAGCAAAACTTAATTTGGTGAACACTGCCTCTTCCTAAGCCCCGTCAACAGCAAATAAACTACACAAGAGAAAAATCAGTTTCTCCAATCTAACCACAATTTCAGTAAAAGTTGTTCTGATAAAAGCTTCATCAATTGCAAACTATATTTCTTCACGCTTACAAATACAGACATCACAGCAAAAGTTTGTAGTTTAAATGTATCCAAAGTGTTATTTGTACACACAGCTGATATTCCTCTGAAGCAAGAGATCCATCCCATCCAAACTGCATAGACAATTGCCGCCTCTAGCAAAAGTTGGATGTACCAAGCTTTGCCATTCAGAAAGAATTATTTGATTGTGTTGTCAAAACAACTCCTTTATCAAGACACAATTCATTTCCATTTACAGAATTTGCAGATACATTTATACCTTTTGATTTGATTATTATATTTGTTACCCCTTCTTTGCATTTTCTTTACATTTGGTATATTTACCTCAAACTCACTTTTCCCATCAATGTCACTGGCTAGTAATACACTGCTGAGTTCATGCCTTACAAAGTTCCCAGCTTCCCTCAAATATTAGTTCAACCCTCATTACTCAGGTAAGTTTTCTAATTTTAACTATTCTGGTACAGTAAAACAGTACATCTACTGCAGCTGAATAAGGCAACAATGACTTTTTAAAACTGGAAAAAGAAAAATCCCCAAACCATTACAGAGGTACTTTATACCAACATAACGGTAAAACTGCATCTAGTATAAAGGGATGGATTAACAATTGCACAGATGTCTATTTCATATATGCACAAAAATGAGACCCGTAAGCAAGTACTGAATCAGTATAAATCGAAACCCAACAAAGCTGGGAGTTAGGACAAACCTGCGATACACAAGTATTCATACCTTGAAATTAACATCTGAGCAACATTTACTCTAAACTGACCCTTCCGAAGCTACTAAACTATTTACACTCAGCTGCCTCTATGAGAGGACTCATTAGCTCAGAACAGTGCCATGTACACACAGTGGCCCTAAAAGTATTTGCCCCGTGTATACCTGTGGCACACCTGAGGTGGCACTGCAGGAAGTCAAGCTGGATGTTTCCTCAACTTCAAAAGCGTTGGAATTCACACCCCAAGCTACCAGGCAGAGATAATGATGAGTTTACTGTTATCAGCAATTAGATATGAAGCCCTTGAGAAACACTTAGAAAATAAGGCTGCTTGAAATAAACGCTTGCACAAGCATAACTAATTTAGCGAGAGATCTTTTTCCTAAGGCAACTTGATGACACTAGCACTAACACCCTTGGTATGTCCAACTGTATCTATATATAGATGTGCTACATTGTATAACCTTATTCTCTTTTCTACATTGGATTAGATAGGTCAGAATCATCAAGCTCATGCCAGGAAAACTTACCACTTTAAATCAAAGAATTTCTACAAGCAGATATAGATTTAAGCATCACTGCTCATACTTCACCATGTAGAAGGCTTGATAGTCTGTCATGGTGCAAAGAATTCAAGAGACAGGAAATTTTTCCTCAAAATCTTTGAATTTTTTGACCGTTGGAAAAAACCAAACACACCTCATAGTTGCCTGTTTTAGGTAATTTCAGACCAAATATTCCTTAATCCATAGGACCCAAGCAATCTGTCAAGTATTTTAACTTTCTCATCTTCCAATTTCTATCCAAAATAGCTACGCTACTGTTTTTCCCTGTTAAGCCATTTCTCATCAGAATTCTACACCTTGTCCTTACTTAATACATGCAGGTATGAAGCAACTAACTGCATCTTGTTGTTACCAGTAATTTGCCAAATAAATACCCAAGGTGCAAAGGTTCCTTCCAAAATTCTGGTACCTACACCAGTATGGTTTTACCAAGATAGACTAGTAACCCTGTTTTAATTTCAGTTGCAATATTCAGAAAAATGCTCATAACCAAGGAAGTGCAACATCTTCATGCATACGTTTTCTTTCTATACTGACAACAAATTCCTTTACTCCTAACTCTCAGCATCTAGATGGAGTTCAAATTCAGGAAGAGACAAGTTTCTTGCTATGTATACACAAGACTTCTCCATAATACAAAAAAAAGAGGCAGAAAGTTGGTTGTAAACCACATGATGTTTGTAAAGTAGATGTCAGTGTTTAGCTTATTAACTAAGATGATGTTGCAGGAATTGCAAAAGCTATCAAAAACTGAAGAGCCAGCAAGGGAGCACAGACAGCTGTCAGTATCAAAGCTTGACAGAACATGAGGGAACAACAGAATTACTTCAGGCTGAGGGAACAGAGTTCGGAACATGAAGCCCAGGAAGGAAAAGATAAGCAAATGGAAAAGTAATTTAACATGAGACAGATGCCTCAAGGGGGGGGGGAAGCAAAAAACTATAGGGTTGCATTGATTTTTCTATCCAAAGCAAACAGCAAAAAAATATATAATTTATGTTTTAGTTCTCTTTTGCTCTTTTATGTTCCAAGGAGATAATCCAAAGCCCAATTAAGTCAAAGGTCTTTCAAAGCATTTTACAGCAATGGTATCAGGTGCTACTTAAGACACATTTTAAAGAGGTTGCTTCATCTCACACTGTCACAAGAATGTGAAACATTAATTGATCAGAAAAGGTTTGGATTTGAGGAGACACTGTAATTTTAAGTACAGAACAAGGTTAGTTATAGAATTCAAATATGTAAGAACACATGATTTCATTAGAAGAAAACCAAGGACATCTGATTTCTCGTTTAGGATTTTTGGGTCCTTACCTGGCCTGTTTGTGGCAGCCATAATGAAAACCTGCCGACGATTCTCCAGACCATCCATCTCTGTGAGTAACTGGTTAACTACTCGGACACTGGCTCCTGACTTTAAAAGGAGAAATTTGTCAAGAAAATTGAGGAAACAGTGGGAATGTGAATATTTCAAAGTAAAAGAAACAAAAGATCTACTAGCTCCCTGCCCTGAAATACTATCCAAAGAAAAAGTTTCTTTTTCGCACTTTTAATGTAGCTGCATTCTGGATTTCTACTGTTATAGTCTTAGCTTGTTTCTACCCCAAATTCATGCTACCTATACACCCACCACACATTTTAACACATGGCAAACCTTTTCTTTTCCATTAAAGATGAAGGGCTCACTTAAAGTAGTACATACAGATATTTATACTAACAATTCTCCCATCTATCTCAACAAGAACACTCAAAACTTCTCATTATTTAGGTTGGGGGCAGGGGCGAGTTCTCCAAATATTTAAACCTCTGAAACAATACTTTCAGCAGCTGAGCTACTCATAGTTAAATGTTAATTCCATAGTACTGACATCCCATAATCAAACTCAATAGCTTAACCTAAATTTCGTTCTAGAGTTGGGGAGACAGGGGGAAAGGGGGAGAGAGAGACAGAGAAAGCACAGGAGCTGGAGGAACAAAAGTCAATTATGCAGTAAAACTGCTTGACAATTTTCAAGGCTGTTGTTGTAAGTGTTACTGTTTTATTTTAAATATACAAAAATATAAATCCACCTATGGAAAATTAGAATATGCGGTGAAAATGCACACAGGTCTCAAAAAGCCAACGAAAACACCAAACACCCCTGAGTTTCAATTGTCACCAATATCACAGCCTGAGTAATAAAGTCACCAGTCTCCCGCCCAGACAGTACCTCTACATGGTTAAAGGAGGCTGTGAAGAGCAGGGCTGGGCTTCTAAGCACCAAGTACCTGCCTGCTGCTGCCGCCACAGAAGTGGAATACAGCGAGGCCAAAGCACACTTGTTCCCCCTCCTTGGCTACAATCTATGCCTGCTGCGGTACCTAGTACTGGACACCTTCTTTTATGGCTCTGTGGGAACCACCACCTCAGGACATTCGGGAAGACAAGTGTGAACTTTTCAGCTTGGCTATCTTTCATAGGAAGTGAAGTATGCAAATTCAGAAGACAAGGTATGATTCAGAAACAGTTGATCAAACTTCCTCTCTGCTATGAAACAGAACTACAACAGTCCTTCTGTTAAAGTCATTGATGGCAATATCTGAACAACACTGTACTCAGCTTGTCTGTTTTAAAAAAAGCATCTTTTCTTTCAGCCATCAACATACATGCACCAGTACAGTATCATAAAACACATGCACCTCCTCTGCAGAAAAAAAACAGAGCTGCTTTCCTTTCAACACACTAACAGTTTGCGCTAATTCTGCCCCCCAAAAAGCAGAAGCTAATCCTTCTACTACTTCTACTACTACCTCCATAGGTAGTTCCTATGCCGAAACAACAGCAAGGAAAAAAAAAAAAAATCAGGACAGAGAAAACTTCACAGGTGGAATAGCTCTGAAGTCTAATGCATTCCACTTACACTCCTGCCTCAAATATTTTCATGACCCAGTTCACGTTCACATAAATACATACTTCATGCAAGCATTACAGTTGCATACAGGTGTCAGGATTTGGCCAGGTGTCAGGATTTGGCCGTAAGTTAAAGATGATATTAAACTGCACTCCATCTTTTCCTATGGCTCTACACAGCCAAGTTGGTGGATATACACACGTTCTCTGGATATCTTTTTCTATAAATGCATACTAAAAATGTATTAAAGCTTTATAAAATTTGACAAACATATTTTTTCCTCAAATATGAGAAACCCTATCAGATTGTTTTTCTTGGGAGATACTGAACGTAGTACCTTTCCAGGTACTTCTGTTGCTAGCACAATGCCACAAAAGCTGCAACTGAGATAATTTATTTATGGAGATATTTTAAGACAGACTCACTTCACGGTCAGACCTCCGAGGGCACAAAGCATCAACTTCATCAAAAAATATAACACAAGGGGCTGAATTCCTGGCACGCTGGAATACCTGACGTACAGCACGTTCACTTTCACCAACATACTGAAACAAATGACAAATCACAGTGAAACAATGTAAGACATGAAGATTTTGCTTGGGAAAAAAAAAAAAAAAAAATCAGAGTTTTAAACACTATTTGAGGTGCTTTGCAAAAGAGAAGTGCAACCTGCTAACCATTTTACTTCTGATAACCGTCTGTTACCTGTATTTCCTTAATGATCAAGATTTACATGGGAACAAGTTGTCACTAGCTTACTTTTGACAGTTTGCAGTAGATTCAGAGTTTAACAGAATTCCTACTTTCTGGGGAATAAAACTAACTTGCCATCATTCTGCTGGTGAGAATTAAAAAATAAATCACCATTAAGGACCTTGTTGTTCTTCAACTGTTCATAAACAAACCCAACGAGCAATTTGAACACAATGGCCATCTGAACTTCATATAGTAGTTGCCTGAAGACAGGGCAGGTGGTGGTAGGGAACTGAAAAGTAAGCCAGAATTTCACTTGGAATGACAAATTGCAGGGGTGGGGGTTGCCAAGTTATAAATGCAAACACTTCATTTTTTACAAACAAACATGTTTTGATATAATTTATGTCTTAACAGATTCTCTGAATCACAGCCAGACATTTTTTCTTTACTCCACAAGGAAGTAGGGCTCCTCATTAACTTATTAGAGTTATATTTCCTGGCTCTATCAGTGCTTGAAGTACATATTAAAAAAATGTTTGGGGAAAGAATAATCAAATCCAGAATTTTGGTTTTAGCTTCCACATTACTGATAGACAGGTAACTGCCATTGTCTTCCGAGATGTGGGCTGCAGCCATCTTGCTCAGTTCAACACATTCTCTTAACTCTAAAAGGGACTGAAGTTATATCACAACAATTCTAAGTCCAGTGCTTCAAAAACCCAGACTACAGCGCTTTCATCTGTTAACATTTAAAATCTTTAAAAGTCACTACGATCAACTAAAAAACCCCTTGCTTTCCAAGGTTTCAGACTTCCATTAAGAAGCTAAAATGACTGGCAAAACACGTTTCCGAACTTGAAAGCTGAAAATTTTGCTTAGTGACAACTGCTGATCTGCAGTTACTGATCACCAATTGTTCTCACTGTAGATTTGAATTTTTGTTCTTATTCCTGATCTACATAAAAGCAATGATGTATGTAGTTGGTCATTTAGAAATCCTACTTCAGTCAAGAAGGCTCCATCTGCCAGGTAATTTAAACCGGGATATACACTTAAACTACCCAGACAGCCTTTTTTCTTTTCACATGAACAACTTCACTGCTAAAAAAGTTTAAGCAGAGATTAAATGAGGCAACTTCAGCTGCACAGTATCAGTTGTGTAATTACCAGGAATTTTGCTTGCCCCATGCTTTGGACAAGAACTCCATAAATAACAAGAGCACAGTGATTACTCCATACCATATTTAGTAGTTCAGGACCTTTCACAGATATGAAGTTCAGTCCAGACTCATTTGCCACGGCCTATCAAAAAGGGAAAGACAGATGCATGTATAAACCACACATTTTTCATGTTTTCTTTGGTACTGTCCATGGAGCGATAAACAAACTTAAGGGAAGGAGCACAGTTATCATCTGTTTGTAAAATATAGAAAACAGTACAAAGTTGTCCTGGTTTCGGCTGGGATAGAGATAATTTTCTTCCTAGTAGCAGGCATAGTGCTGTGTTTTGGATTTAGTAGGAGAAGAATGTTGGTAACACACTGATGTTTTTAGTTGTTGCTAAGTACTGCTTATGCTAGTCAAGGACTTTTTCAGCTTCCCATGCTCTGCCAGGTGCACAAGGAGCTGGGAGGGGGCACAGCCAGAATAGTTGATCCAAACTGACCAAAGGGCTATTCCATACCATATGACGTCATGCTCAGTATATAAACCTGGGGGAGCTGGCCAGGGGGCTGCGATCGCGGCTTGGGAACTGGCTGGGTATTGGTCAGCAGGTGGAAAGCAGTTGCATTGTGCATCACTTATTTTGTATTGTTATTATTATTTTTCCCTTCCTGTTCTGTCCTATTAAACTGTCTTTATCTCAACCCATGAATTTTACTCCCCCCCGACCCCGATTCTCTCCCCCATCTCACTGGGGAAGGGGGGAGCGAGCAAACAGCTGTGTGGTGCTTAGCTGTGGTTAAACCACAACAAAAGTATAATTATATGCAATTAAGAGTGGGAGGGGGCAGGGAATTCAGCAAGGTGTTCTCTCTCTCTAATACGGCAGTGTTCCAGATTCACACCCCACCTTCCTCCACCATATTAGCTGAAGAATTCTCAATAATTAGTGGAAGTAAAAGAGATATTCAACTACATAAGAGTATCTGAAGACAAAGATGAGTGACAATCTAGAAATTTGCATGATTATCTGCATTTACATGAGGAGGCCGTAAGAACTGAAATGCTCAAGAAGGAAAACAAAAGTATTTTTCGTAAATATAATAAATAAAAATACATAAATAGTGTAGACTACTTCCAAATATACAATTTAGTTACAGTGAAGTATTCCACAGAAGTGGTTATCTAACAGAGTTTCTTCCCATCTTTGCTACTTTCTTCTTAACCAACTTCATTCCTTCAAGTTTTGCAGTAATTCCCTCTCAATTCAAACAAAATTGTAACTTTATGACAAGAAAATCAAATAACTTTAGCACAGAGGCGCAAATTTAATTTTCTGATGAGAAGCAGTGCAAAAGCCCAACTTCTGGTAGTACCATCCAGACTCAGTCATTCCTACAAAAACATCCACTTCGAGAAGATTCTGTAGTATTTTTAAACATGTTTAGAAAATGTATTACCTTAGCTAACAGTGTTTTGCCACACCCAGGAGGCCCTGCAAGCAGGACACCAGCTGGAGTAGTAAGGCCCAGAGCTTTAAACTGCTCTGGGTTTCGCACAGGTGCCTATAAAAGAAATTATCATAGATTATTCAATTATCATAGAGCTAACATGAAACTTTTCATTTCAGTTACAGTTGGATGAAAAACAATTCACAAGCAAGTTCTTTATTCCAATTCTTTACAGGCTAAAAGAATAAACAGTCAGTCAGATCAGCCTCTTACGATCTTGCACTGGTAAGTACCCCAAGATGGGAGACGTATCATTATTCAGAGGCAAAGACTTTATTTACCTAAGTTCTCATCTTAAGGTGTTACTGCTAAGTATCCCTCTGACTGGCAGAAAGACTGCTAACCTTCCAGCTAAGTAGTCTCTCCAGTTCAGTTGCGTAACTAAGGTTATTGGTACAAAACTTTTAGAATACTTAAGATTCAGCAATAATGAACATACTGAAAACTGAAAGCATGAATACAGTAAGTGAAACATTAAATACATGCACCAGACTTGTAACAAATTTGAATGCAAATTATAGAAGTTTGACTATTTTAAATGAAGATGTTGCAAAATTTCTAGTTTGTAGTGTGTTAGAACTCATGGGCAGCACATTATACCTTAAATAAATATTAAAACGCAAACAAGCATAGTTTTATTTCCTGCACAGGGGGAAGTGCAGAAAATCTTTGAAAGTAAGGTTAAGACATACCAATATTGCCATAGTCAGCTCCTCCCGAACATCCTCCAGGGCTCCAATGTCTGCCCATGTCACATCAGGAATTGTGACAAAGCCTTCTCTCTTGGCAGAGGGTTGCACTGATGATAGTGCAACAATAAAATCATTCATCTCAATGCACAGCTTCTGCAGCTGCTCCTCAGGCAAGGGGTCTTGCTTCTTCAGCAAATCCAAAAGTCTCTGCAATTCATCCTTAGGATACATGGAAAGGGAGAGAAAAAGATTATGCACTGGATTAGATTTTAAGAACCATTTTTTAAGGGCTTTTTCAAAGCCATACTTTCTTCAACTGTAATATTAATTACTATAAAACAAATTATTATGTACAATACACATAAAATATATAAGATAACATTAAAAATTAACATTAATGAGAAAAATGTTCCAGGAAAGCACTAGGTACATTTAACACTTGTGAAAGCACTGAGCTGACAGACTACAATCTTGATTTAGATACTACAGAAACAGAGCTAGCACATGTATTTTGTCTTAAAATTCTTCCTACTGCTTCTCCCACACTGGCGAGGAGAAAGTCCTTTCCATGCTGAAATTTCCAAAATATGTATTAATTATATGTATTTATTCTGTTTTTAATAAGAAATTGCTCGAGAGAAAGTGAACAACTCTGCTGGACAGCACAATTTCAGCAATTTGTGGAATATTCAGTTACATATAAACCTTTAAAATTCTTAACACACACTTTTATTTAACATAATCCGATTTCAAGTCATCAACTCATTTCCTCAGGCTGATTACACCTGTTTTTGTAGCCAGGCCCTGATAACATTTGGGCAAACAGAACAGAGATACAGGGTAATGCTTTTCAGCACTGTCCCATCTTGCAGACCACAGTGCCCCAGGCACGTACGTTCCAATTTCCCCAATCAGTTCCTTGGGGAAACTATCTGAGAAAATACTTGATCAAAGAACTTTATAACTTCACAACATAAATACATCCCAATTCTAATACCGGAAGGCAGTATCAGAGCAAACTGATACTGCACCACAAGTAAAACTATACCAGGATTTTCATTATAAGATAAAGAGAGGGGGGAAAAAAAAAAATTGTAGAAACTCTGTTAGATTTCCACATTTTTCCTACAGCAGTATACGGGAAAACTATCACTTCCTGTTTGTTGCAACTAACATAGCTCTACAACTGACCACAAAGAAATACACGAAGTGTTTGTAGTGCCTGATATTCCTTTTAAGCCCTCCCTCCTCTTCTTAACAGAACCATTGAGAGAAACTCTGAAATAGCCGAGACCACTGGGTTTGTTTACTTGAATTGTGTGAATGATTTTTAAAGGTTTTGTATGTTTATTTTTCCATTATAAACACAATATAACGGTTTTAATGACAATACCCTGTATTAGACCATGTCAACCTCCTGCCAGCTATCAAAATATAGTAGCTCTGCTAGGATTAGACTTCCTCATCCTCAATAACCCCTTTGATCATGGTGATGTTGATAAAAGCTGCAACTACCTGCCCTTCCCACTTTCTTTTGGCTACATCAGGCCCCAGGAAACACTGGGAGGTATGCAGTATGATTATGTTACTCTAATACAAAGGCTTACTACAGCTTTTTACACTGTTTTTTGTTAATTACAATACCAGTTTTCTTTGACAGTCCTTCTAAAACCAGAATCTGAGTACAATGTGGATTTAAAACCACTTTGTTTTACTTCTCCAGACAAATCTTTAGGAAAGGAAGCCTACACATAATGAAGGCACATACACACTCCAAATTTTGAGAAGTAGGGCCAAAAATTTCTATATAAAGACGTTCTGGTTCACTGACCACAGCAAGTTACTTGGGCCACATAATAATTCTGGCACTGGAAATGCTATTTTTCTGCAACAGAGTTCCAGCTGTAATGCACATTAACAGATACTTTCTCTGCAGATCAAGTCACATTGCTAACCCAACTCTTCCACTGGATAGATACCTCTTCCTCAAACTTGCTATAGGTACTAGACACCACATGGGATTTAACCTGAGTAATCTGGTTGGATCTGAGTAAATCTGGAGGGAAAATGTAGACTGCATAAATACTTCTAGACTCTGGCTAACTGTAACTATACCAGGTCAGGGAACAGCCCCAGGCACCATAATAGATATTTCACTGAGAGCACAGCAAACAGCTTGGTAAAAAGTCAGTGGAAGTCTGATTTTCTTACAATTCTCTTAAGAGTCGATATGCTTTTGAAGAGAGATATAGCCACTATTTTAACCTCTGGTCTGCTAGAAAAGAAAACAACACAACACAAACAACAACAATGAAAAGCCCAAGTTAAAAAAAAAAAACCCACACCTTGTATAAAACATTAGCATGATTTTTAGTAGGTGTAAGTTTTGGGAGCCACTTATTCAGACCCATTATATGGGTTGTTAGGAATTAAGCTTATGGCTTAGGAGCTGATATTTCTAAATCTAAATTTAATATTATGTGCGCAATAGGTGTTTAAGGATTTATGAGCAATGACTTTCACAACTATAAAATGGCTCAATTCTTAAGATATTAGAGGCACATGCTTGAAGGAACAAATACCTTAGGAGGAAGTTCTGGTTTGGTATCCTCTTCTACCAGAATGTCTGTTCCTATTCCCATGCTTTCTTCAGCTGTGTTTCCTCCAGCATGTATGTGTTTCCTCTTCTGCTTCTCAGATTTTATCAGGACCCTGTTCACTGTGCACATAGCTGCCTCACGACAAAGTGCCATCAGATCAGCACCTACATAACCTGGAGTCAGCCGTGCTAAATGATGAAATTCAAAGGACTCTGGGAGCTTAAGTTTTCGACACAAAGTCCGAAGAATTCTAATCAAGTAGGAAGAAAAAGAACAACAAAATGAAGATGAAGCTGTGGCACCTTTTATTTTCATATGAAAACAAGAAGCATTGATTTAAGGTCTCTTTCAGTCCACATGAACTGAAGTAGTACAGTGGGAACAGTTTTCACTCAACTAGGAAGTAACCAGCACTGAAACCTACAAAACTATACTATATATTTCCTTTCAGTTCTTAAACAAAAAACAACAGCATCAACCAGGCAATGTCATCAGTGGGTAAAAGCTAGTTTTGGTGAATCTAAATATTATAGACTCTTTAAACCTTAGTTTATGATTCAAAATTGACAGAGTAGATCTCAGAGTGTACCAGAGACACACACAAGTTATCTACTGAGATATTTAACCTTATATTCCTAACAACCTTAGTCTGCATTGGCTGTTTGATCCCAGTTTTATTTATTTATTGAAGAACATTCACAACAAACTATTCTGCAAGGAGCAAATGAAATCAGACTGTGTGAAGAGCTCTGTCTTTTAATCTTCAGCATCTTTCCCCTACCATTGTCAGTGGAATATAACTGCAGATATTTTCTGCATCCCCAGTAAAATTTCCAATAGGCAAAAGACAGCTTATGTGTACACCTCATGTGTTACCTCATCCTCATTCAAAAGCTAAAGTTACACCTACCTATGCAGTTCCATCCGTAATACAAAACGGCTCTATGTAACTGACAGTGAAGTGTTATGCTTCACCATTCTTTTTTAATGGGAGTTTTTTCACTCTGTGTCAAGGCTGAAGCTTTAAAAACCTCCTTCAAGGTCCACCAAGACTTCCTGCTGTTTTTCTAAGCCAAGGACAACTGAAAACTACATGAATAGTAAAAAAAAAAAAAACCCCAAACCAAAAAACCAACATCACTGCACAAATACTGGTGCTGAAGAACTCTAAGCAGAGGAATCAAATCAACTTGTTTAAAACAACAAAATATCACTTCATTGGGAAAATGTTTTAAAAAGGCAGCACAAACCAAAGTGAAGATCATTAACATACTTTCTAGTTCCAATGAAAACTAGTTTAAATTATTTCCAGATCAAGTAATGTAACTACAGAAAAGTTATGAAAAGAACAAATTATTAAACTATTCAAAACTCTGAAATTATAATATTTTGTCTGCCTCCCGCAGTAACAAATTCCATCACCTCTCATTTAAATCTTTATTAGTGATATTAGCTTGGTTCTCAAGAATTTTTCAACCTGTCTGACAACAGTTGTAGCTAGTCAAGTGACTCAAAGTGAAAAGGTTAAGAACTGTAAATGGCTCAGTACAAATTTCTGTCATACATGTATTATTTTCCTTCACATGCTTCACACATGCACAAGAAAACACTGCAAGTAAATCAAGATCTCCAGGTACACCTCCTCATCCTACTCCACTCACCTAAGGCTGTAGAACCACAACTAAGCAGTTCAAATCATGCCTGCAGCAAGACTGACTTATTATGTGGTAAATCAGCACACTGTAAGGACTTCTGTTTCTATATGACCCTTTTATTTTTAAAAAAGGAACAAAACTCCCCAACAAAAACCACCCCAAACCCCAAACAAAACAGAAGTAGTGGGGAGGCGGGGGGGGTAATTTTAAAAAGAAAATAAAATCAACAAATCAACAGTTCCTGTAAGCCTATACCTGCAGGAACACAAACAATTGTACAAAACAATAGTATGAACAAATGTGACTACACTCTAACTTGTGAGCAATCTCTACACCCTTTGACAGTTTTTCCATTCACAGCCCCTATCCTTTGAAACAGTGCTATTTCTGGGAATGCCATCTTTTTAACATGAACCTAAGAAGTATAATAGAATCAGAACTCTCATCAGTCAACTCTTTAGTTCTACCTCTCACCACTTGCATGTTTACCCACAACCAAGAGGAACATAACTACTACACGGCTGTAGATCTAGAGGAAGGAAAAGACAAAAAAAAAAAAAAAAAAAAAAAAAAAAAAAAATATATAGAAAAAAAAAAAAAAAAAAAAAAAAAAAAAAAAAAAAGGAAAAAAAGAGTGGAGGGGGTAGGGGGGAGGAGAAAGGGTGCAGTAATGGCCAGTAGTGCTGACAACATCAAGTGAGCAATGCTGCAAGCAGAATAGTTTATTTTTTCAACCTAGAAATAAGATTAGTTGACCTAAAAGGAACTTATCTTTCAACTTTTCTTTCCTTCCCATAACAAGATAAGCCACAGCTGTTTTCACACTTTTCTTCCTGTGTTTTCTGCTGTTGGGGAAATGAGTAGCAGTTCCTTTCCAATTAAAAAGCAAAAATATATATATATTTTTTTAAATCTAGTGTGACGGTCATGGATCTTTGGAGTAAAAAGGGCCAGTTACACAAAACAGGGTAACTCCAGCTCAGCTTAATGCCTGGACTGGTGTACTTCCAGGAGGAATGGAATAATCTAGGCCTGTTGCTTAAGGCATGTGCTTGAGAGGACTAACAAACAGGCTATACTTAATTTATGTTCCTAATTTAATAGTTACATAGGGAGCACCAAAGACAGAATGTTAACTTCCTGAACAACAGAAAAGATATATTTAATACCATCATCTATATTGTTAAGGCACTTGAAAACCCATTAACATAATGCTAAAATCAGATTTGCTCACAAGAAAGGAAGCCACCCCAAATGTAGACCCAGCTACTAAGACAAAGAGTAGATGCACACTTAATGTCTTCTGCACTTCTCAGTGTGTGCTGATCCATAGGTGTGTACAGGCACAAATAGGACTAAACACAATAAAGTACTCTTCCTTAATTTGTATGTTAACTTACACATTATTTCCTTATTTATTAGTTAATCAGTCAAAAAGAAGCTTAAACTTTATAACACATACTTTTCTCTTGCTGCTTCATCTGGGATCCCTAAACAAATTTCTCGATCAAACCTCCCAGCTCGCCTCAGTGCAGGGTCCAGTGAGTCAGGTCTGTTAGTTGCTCCGATAACAAGGACCTGGGTCGTGGCAGCCACATTATTCAAGTCTAAAGGAAGGAAGGAAGGAAGTCAGTGCTGATACTCACTGTCTCAACTTTGTTCTGGTATCTATGTGAGTCTGTTTCTGCAGCACACAATAATACTCAGAACAGCAGAGACAAAACAAACAAGTCATACTAAACCGTTGTTCACCCTTATTTCTACTACCTAGAATTTGCATTTTGCACAATCAAGCAAAAAATAAGCATTTCGAATGACATTTGACACATTTTCCTATTATATCTGTTTATACCATAGACAGGCTTATATAATGCTGTACAGATCACTGTGAAAATAATGTAGTAACATCCCCTCAAAGGTATTAGAATCTTCCCACCACCCCCCAAGTTAATTGTGCCAAAATACAAAAAATTATTACCACTATCTCCACTAAAGTAACCATGAGTCACTACCGAAGGAAAGCAGACAGCGAGCCTGATAATAGAAAGTTTAGCTTAGTACAGATGTTCCTGAAACTGACCATCCATACAAGTTAGGAACTGAGCAACAATTCTCCGCTCCATGTCCTTCGATGCAACTTCTCTTTTTGGCGTGATTGCATCAATCTCATCAATGAAAAGGACACATGGTGCACTGGACTGGGAATAAGAAATATTAATAATTACCAAATTACACTGACATACTGTATTATGAGAGAGAAAGAAAATTTTCAGGTTTTCCATTCTATAATTACTACTTTAAGTCTGCTGCACAATCAACCTGTCCTGGAACAATTCTGTTGTTCTTATCGACTATCTGGAGAGCTGCCAGACTATGACACTGTGCTGAGCTGAGGCTATGAAATAATTAAGGCAAGATATTCAAAATGCCTCTATATATTGTTTAAGATTTAAGTGTACCTCTATGTTGCTTTATGTTTTCCATAAATATTCCATTGTGACTGCTTACTTGCTTAAGTCCAAAAAACAAAATCAGACAAGAAAGGTCTGATTTGGTTTTTTGTTTGGTTAGTTTGTTAGTGACCTTAGAACTGTGGAACTTCAAGAGCTAGTATTACTGACACACGTAATGAAACAAAAAGAGCAGTAGGTGGTCATGAAAAATGATCCGCCAACTTCAAGATTACTACAGAGCCTGACCATGTTCAAAGAGTAAAAACAAGCAATGAGTAACTCCTACAAGTGTTCTAAAATTCGGTGTACATCATGTTCATAAAAAGCCAACACAAATATAGAATAATAATTAGTGTAACTATAGAATAGTGTTTAACTGACAAAAGATTATTAATATCTTCAAAAAGCACTAGTAGTGCAAACGAATACTTAAGGAAAACACTAGAATCAATCTTCAGAAAAAGTGCCATGTAAAAAAAAAATAGTATTTTAAAACCCACGCATTCTGTGTTATCAGGTAGCAATTGCGCCATCTAGTAGTCATTCACTTTTCCTCTATCTGACAGAGGAAAAAAAATGCAACTCGGCTATAAAGACTCCACAGTACATGCTGTTCAGTGAAACTGTCTTTATTTTATCCCCTGTGCAAAAATTTGTTACACCAACTAAGTGGAAAAGCCACCTAAGTGAATGTGAGGGACTGTAAGACACACAACTGACTTAAACTGACTTTAAAAATAAACAGATTTTATGCAATACATTTTTTCCAAAGTAATTTTTGTAGCAACCTCCCCTCAATCACTATACATACAAGAGATATGTAATTTCTGAAAACTCTGTGAAATCATTTAATTTTATTCTAAACAACATCTTAGCAGGGCTTTCTAAAAATCAAAATGTAGTATGAACTGGAAACATAATAATCTAAGAGCTTCATAATCAATCCTCTTGCCCTGTTTAGCATCCTTTTATACAAGAACATACTCTAAACATCTATATACAGTCGTGGGGGAGAATAGAAGAATGGAATTAAGTTGGAAAACCAGAACATTCTCAGAGGTCAGGAACAGAAAACTGGCCTCATGAAATAAAACATTAGCTACATACTAAAAAAAGAAAAATCTGCATTTGTTTAAATTAAAGTTATCTCAACCTGTCTGGTTCTCTTCTAAGTCTGAAAGTTGCACCAAAGCAAGACTTCAACTGTAACTTGACTCCTGCTCTTATAATATTTGTCCCACTTTTCTTACTTTATACCTAAAACCCTAGTCTTAAGTCCCTCGCATTCACCCAAATTCCATGCCATACAAAACCAGAAGAAAACCCATCTTGTAACAAAGAAGCACAGTGAACTGCTCTTACATCTTTTTTATTTCTATAAATCAAGCCAAGCAGCTCCAAATAGGTAAATAATTTGCGTTGCTCCCTTTACATTAGTATGATGAACTATCTTTTGTCAAGATTTCAGAATAGTAATCTTTGTGCTCTATGACAGCATGACACTTAGTACAATGGAATTCTGGCCACAGAAGGGGAGACACTATGACTTGTGTGCAGCAGTATAAAGATTCACTCACTAATATTCACTCAAATTCAAAACACAGCAACAAAGTATGAATCTTTACAAAGAAAAGGACAAACAATTCACAGTGTTATTTCCAATGGGTGTCTCACCACAGCCTGCTCAAACAATTCTCTCAGTTTCTGCTCAGATTCCCCTGACACTCCAGACACCATCTCTGTTGCTGCCACTTTCAGCATCGGGAGCTCAAGCTCCTGAAAAAGACAAGGAATGTTGTATCATCCATCGAGGTTAGAAATGTTGGCCGTCCTAGAGGACAAATATTTTCCAATACAGCATCTTTTACACCCAAAGATTATGTAATCAAGACTAAATCTTAAAGAGCTTTTAAAAAAGATGAATAGCATCCTTCAATTTAAAATGGGTCTGAGCCATTTGGCTAAGTGAACAGAAATGGATACAAAAAACCAGGTTTTCCTAATTCAGTCAGAGAATGACAGCACTGTCAAATAGCTTTGCACCTTGGTCCCCAACCCAATCCTTCACAACACATATATTTCAGTTCATGCTTGGGCTCCCTTCTTGAGAAAATTGTCTATTTCCATCTATAACAAAGCATTGCTTAGCAGCGTGGAAGAGAGCCACACCAGGTTTGGTTCCTTTAGTCTTGCTCCAGAAATATCTGAGCGGGACTGTACAATAAGATACTTGTAAAGCTCACACTCAAAGTGTTCCGCTATTAAAAATAAATAAATAAAATTGTAACTTTGATAGACTGTAGCACAGTAGTGCTACAGGTGTTGCACCCTATTTCAAGCTCTTTGAACTACATATAAAAAAATCATCCTAATTTATACAAATCGCAGCCACCAGGGGCACTACGTGGGGCTTGGAGGAGATAATTTGCCTTAAATAGCACTATTGAAAATCTCTTATTTAAGAAAAATTACTTAAGTAGTCATTAAATTTATCACATCTCTGAAAATTTTTCACTTGTGTAACGTTTCTTTCCCCAAATTTAGGGCCCTTCCAGGATACAAATACGCACTGAAGTATTAAATATCACAGATTCATTCAATGATACCTTTTTACAGTAAGGCATTAAAAAGAAAAAACCCAAATCTTTTTAATTAAAACAGTTGAAACAATGTCAGAAGGGTCTAACCAATATTTAAGGAATAAACACCAGTATTTCCTTTCAAAGATAAAACCTGCACTACAAAAGCTCATAATTTACATGTATCTAAATTTAAGGCTATAATCTGTGACATTAAGGAACAACTGTATTAAAGAAAAAGAAATGTCCATGGTTACCACTGAATAGCCCTAAATAGCTCCTAGATTTATATCCAAAACAGGCACATACCAGCACAGCAGCCTCACCACACAACAAACTGTTAACACCAATAATGTCATATGCTCTGAAATCATTAGTTTGACACAGGCAAGGCAACATCCAGTTTTGTAATTCAGAAATCACTGTTTAACGGATGCCACCCACTACAATCAATGTAATGCCTCATAAAAGATAGAAACATTGAGTCCAGACTTAAAACAAAACACCATGGTAAATTTAACCCAAAGTATCTTCCATTTATAGCCTTCTCAATACCCATGCCTATATTGCAGTCCTGGGAACGCATCAAAACAATTAAGTCAAACTTAAAACCCTGTCACTACGTCCCCTCTTCACCTATGAGGTTCTATCAAGTACAGATTCAGATGGAACTTAAACAAAGGAAGTGAAGATGAATATATTTTAGACTAAGATAGGAAGGAGAGAAGAGAGATTAAAAAAAAGAGGAAAAGATCTAGCCTATCATGAAGGTGGATTTTTTTTTTCCCTCTCTAAATACAATTCAGAAAAAGAAGAAACTGTAAATTTAAAACTATCTCACCCCAGCAATTGCCTGTGCAAGTAGTGTCTTTCCACATCCTGGTGGTCCATGTAAAAGAAAACCGCGAGGTGGAACCACACCTAAGTGGTTATAGACTTCAGGATGACGCACATGAATGAGCATCTTGCATATTTCCTGTTAAGAACAAGAGAGACCTCCATTTAAATTGCAGAAATTAGTATTGTAGATTGATAACATTATAGACAGGCTAAAATAAAGCAAGTTCCTTTTATTAATGTAATTTCAGTGACTGCTTTCAGAAAGATTAATAAAAGGAAAAAAAAACCCAAAACTCTGTTGCTGTTGGTATAAACAGCTATTCTCACTGCCATGCAGATGAATTCTGCCAGACTTCTTCCTTGCCATTTTTCAGGCAACATTTTATTCAGGGCATTCTGTATCCCACAAATAAAATTTTAACTAACCTTTAAAGTTTCATCATTGCCTCCTACATCCTCAAACTTCACTGAAGGGTGGTAAAGCTCTGGCCCCTTATTTCTAACTGTTAGGAAGGAAAAGTCATGCAAATTTAGACACGGCATAATAGTAGTTGCTAACACCAAACAAAAAAGTACGTAGCCTAAACAATTAGCTAAGTACATGGAGCAGTATTATTTTTTGGTAGTAGACACAGGACTGGAATATTTTTTTTAGTACAACATTAAGGCTAAACGTCTTAACAAAACGCTCAAGGTCACTTCTCTGCACCTCAGAAAACACTTCTCTCGTAATGGATTCCACAGTCAAATACCATCTCTTTGTTTGGAGCAGTATGCCAAAAATAACTTCTCACCTTTCTCTTTAAGTAAGATGGAATCAATTTCTCCATCCACATCTGGAAATTCTTCTTTTTTTCTTTTTGCTCTCTTACCCTTTGTCTTCTTTCTTTCACTCTCCAAGACAGAAAATTCTGTTGATTTCTAGGGCATAAAACCAGAATTATATATATAAAACCTTCCAAGTCAGTGAATTTCTGCAAATACTTAAAAGAACAAAATGTGTAAGTGTCTATGATGCGTAACTTACACACATTATCCGAATAAAGACAAGCGAGGCACGAATTTAATCCCTTCTTTTTGTAGAAAATACTTTTTTTACTTAGGATTTGCCTTTTTTTTAAAGGATTAATTAACCAGTCACTTTTTTTGCTAAGAGTACATACTTACAAGCAAAAAAACCCAAACCCACTAACCAAAATCAGACACCAGTTATCTGCACACCATAGAGCAATCCACTTTGGTGATGAATAAAACTGTATGAATTTATTTACTCCAATTGAAACAATTTTTATTACTAGTAAGTCAGGAGTGGCTGTAAGAAAATATTATTCAGTGCTGACATGAGTTAACTGCATGTAAGAAAAGGAGTAATACAGGAAAAAAGAAATAAAAAGAGGTTCAATGATTAAAGTTGTTTTTTTGGTGGTTTGATTTTTGGGTTTTTTTCAGAATACAGTATTGCAAACATTTTACAATCTGAAGATCTCCCTTTTATTCAATTTCTCTATATAAGAGGATGCTGTACTACCAGGATAAAGGGATGATTTGTCAAATCTGCCTATTCAGTAAGCATTTTGTGTAATTAGAAAAGTAGATGTAAATGCAGTTCTTCCTTCATATAAAAAAAGAGCATCCTGCCAAAACACCTGGTCAGCCAAACAACATAAATGTTATGTCCCATACATAAATGGAAAGCTTTCAACAGCTAAACAAAGTTGTTGCTTTCTAAATAAGGAAGAAAACCTTGGGGAGAAGGAGGGGATCACAAAGTGGGCAATATGTCTGGATGGGGAGTAGGACCTATTTTTAACTGCTTTATAAATCAATGCAATTTCCTTTCAGTTTCCCCAACTCTTGCCCATCCAAAAAACTGCAGCTTTCCCCAGGCTCACTAAGACTTAACCATGGGCTAAGGGAGACCACATTCTACGGCTACAGCAAGCCACATGCTTCCTGACCAGTTAGGCTGGTCACAGGTAAATGGAATAAATAACAGCTAAGTTCCACTTATCTTTCTCTCAGTATGGGCACTAATCTGGGTCTTCCTAATACCGAGTACTACATTTTCCTCAAAAAATGTGAAGGACTTTTTACCTCCTGTACAAACATGCTTGAAATGGGCCAGAAGGTTCAAAAATCACTTCTGACACAGCAGAACAATGGGCTAAGCCCTTCCTTCTTCAGAAACCAAGCTAAAAACAAATACTCCACCGGACTTAAGCTAATCTTTCCTTTCTATTTAACATGTTCACTATCTTTAAATACAACAGGCATGTTTGTAATAAAAATAATATATTTTAAAAATCCAGAAAGACAGACAGTCCTTTCGGTCTTAGTATCACCCTTCAAAAGCCTGTCAAATTATGCAGAAAATTATATTCATACTTGCTACTTAAATCAGATTGGGTTTGTAAAACACAATACCTCAGAAATCAGTTTCTTTTCATTGCCTTCTCCATCCTCAGAAAGGTCAATGAAAAAGTCTTTTCCACACGGAGTTTTATCAATGAACCAGCCACCTTCAGAGATGCGTGTTTCAACTCTTGTTCCTGGTGAGAGGGTGCTTGTTTGAGGTACTGTTTGCACAGGAGGAGGGGTTTCCATTGCTTCATTTTTTGGAGTGGTTGGAACAGAATCAGGATTTCCTTTCTTGTATAAGCTCAGCAGGGAACTGTTCATGTGATTTGTAGACTGCAGATTCATGCATTTTAAAAGAAAATATACAGGTTGTAACTTGGATTATTCATATTGAGAGGCCAATGAAAACTATTTTATAAACATCATTCAGGCTCATCCCAGCTGGAGAAAGTAGTCATGCATCTTCCAACCCACTCCTCTGCAAATCAAATGACTGCATATAAAACTCCATCTGCTGGTTGAAGAGGCAACAGCCTTTACAGTTTACCCTGAAATGACCCCTGTTAATTGAGTCACCTCTTTTAGTAATAGTCAGATATGTCAGTTCCTTCAATCATTTCATTCGATAGCCAAGTCTTTCAGGCCCCCAGCGCGCTTTTCTCAAAAGAGATTCCCCACCACAGGTTCTTCCTTTTTCTTCAGAAAATAGCCTCCTTTTAGCTCTACAGGTCCCAACTATATATATATATAGTTGAAATTGCCAACTCTGGCTATACCTCATCTTCACCTCCACTTTTAAACTCTCCCAAGTGCACTGCAATTTCACAACATAGAATCATGTGTCATGCAAACACAAACAATCATAATAAAATACAACTTACTAGATCTTCTGGATACTCATCATAATCAGAGTCATCTGTGGCACTTCCCGCAGTCCTTTACATGGAAGGAAGACAAAAACTATTAATGTATCAGAGTAGAACTGCAAGTGAGACACCCACAAAACAAAACAAATGCAATTTCCGCAACGTGGTTCCCCACAACCATCATATCTAGCCTAAGACTGGAGAAAAATTCCTGACTCGCATGCTCTGAATCTACTACTGTGGTGAGTTAAAAAATGCATCCTCCTTTCCAAGCTTGTGATGAGTTGGATCAACTCGGCAACCTGGCTGAAAGACAGTCCTAAAAAAAGTGATGTGGATCAATCTGCTTCAGTTCACCAAGAGATCACACAATCACCAATGTTGGCACAATGTAGCAAATCACTGCTGAACTAGACTAGTCCTTCTGACAACAATGTCCTAATTTCCTGTGAGATCCTTAATATCTACCACAGGTTAGAGAAACCAGAATGGTCCATGAGACTATGCACAGGGTTAGGAGTCAGGAAATCTTAATTCTAATCTCACACCCAGTGGTGATTTACTCTGAATAGGCTGTCTTGTAGTCTTCTCTCTCAGATTTTGCCAATATCTCTCACACCCAAGAAATATTAAGAACAAAACAAAACAAAGGAACTGAATCACACGAGGACTGGGGCCTCATGTAGAAAACTATCAAGAAAGCCCCAAGGATATCCACTAATTCAGGGCTGTATGTTCCCCATAACAGAGAAATCATGATTGGCTCTAGTATCTGCTTGCCTTCAACTAAAAAAGGTGCTTCCATTAACTACAGGTAACTTCTGATGAAGACAAGCCTATGGGAAATCAAGGATCTATCTGTAACCTTGAAACTACCAAAATTTAATAATATGAAGACAGAAAGCTTTAAAGAAATTATAATATTAATGGCATTGTTTAAGTAATCTAATGGTAAAAATTCTTCTTACTCATTTTTCTCTTGTTGTCTTGCTCTTTTTGCCACATGTTCAGCTTCTAAAACTGCTAAATCTTCGCGTTCCTTTTCATTACTGATTATTCCAAACACTGAAAGAAAATGTTCAAACACGTTAAGAAAACAGACAAAGCATAATCAAAGAATTTGGCATCTTGGACATGATATTGACAGAACTACCTTTTTCAACCTGTATTCTAAAAGCATTTCTTTTTCTTCGTCCATATTCTGCACTGAAAAAAACAAAATAAACAGGTTACGCCAACTGCTTTTTCCCCTCAATGTATTGTCATTCTCAGTGGAAAAAAATACATTGTAAGTTGATACCCAAGCTTCTACACAAGATCTTATTATAAACCAACTATGTGAAAATGTGATTGTTTTTTCTTAAGCCTGGAATAGCTCAATCACTGGGATGAAACAAAACCACTAAACTATACTGGTCTCTGAAGGGATGTTTAGTAAAAATTATCAAGGTCCTCTTTAACTGTAGATATAGAGAAGCAGCAATGTACAAATGAGCACACTGCATTCTATTTCACAACACTACCAATTTTTTAATTTTAATTCTAACAAGAACATATGGAAACAGGACTACTGTCTAGAAAGGACAGTCCAGCAAGAAATAACTGTGCTAATTAATAACGGTCACTATGAGAAAATCTGATTTAATGAGCATCCTTAAATACAAACAAAAATCATCAACCTTTTACCTTCATTTACTGAGAGTGTATTTTATTTATTTACTTTTATACAATAGATGATAGAGGGAAAACAAAATCCCAAGACCAAGGGTTTTGGCTCCCTTTCTGTAACAAGGCACAAATAAATAGAACATGTAAACACAAATGAATATATTTCTCCACTTTCATTAACCCCCACACCCACCAATGATCTGCTAAACACAACCTCGCTCCCCACCCAGAAAAGCATTAAGAGCCTAAAAATAATTAGGTAAGACCGACTGTCCTGCTGAGCAACTGAGCAAGATTTAGTGTCTTACTGAGTCCTGTATCTCTCCCATCTGCCTGCACTGAAGTGTTATTTTCCCTCATATTTTAAGCTCACTGGAGTAAGGACCAACACGCTGTAATGCATCTGTAGCTGTTTAATTAAAAAAAAAAAAAGCAAACCACAAAAAACAAACCACAACTAGATCTTCCAATGCCAAATTAATAAAGTCAATGAATTCAAATTAATAAAATACGAGTTACTAGATATATCAGCAGAGGAAAACACTGGAGTGGAAATGATCTTATTGTTTCGATCAACCTCAACAAATGGTAATGAAGTTATCACAGAGAAAATTAAAATTTTGATTAAAAATACACAAATGCAAAATAACAAGATCATATATTCTGTATTTTGAATGTAGACTGTAAGAATACAAATCTTTGCTCACCTGTAGGTTTTCTGCAAATCAGATGCTAGAATTCCAATGTCAACATACTGGCCACATTTACTACTTGCAAGATACTGAAATGAAGAATTTTAAGCAGCAAATAAAATCTCTGTCAATCACTTCACCAGAACAGCTAGATCAAATATGCCTATTTCAAACTCTACTCGTCTTAGAGGTCAAAATGAAAATCAAAACCAGCTTTGAACTGCCTTTGAACACCCCAGACAGTATTTCCCAATATAATAGGAAATGCTTAATAAGACACAGATAACTAGCTAGCTACGTTTCCTGAGGAAAAGCAGCATACAGTATTTTGGTGCTTTGGTGACTTCTAGTAAGAAAGATGACTTTGTAACCCACACATCATCTTATTGTCAATCCTTCTAAAGTTCTTGGTTTCTCTCAGTTAGCCTCCTTTTGTTCTAGATCTCCTACCTTAAAAATGAAACAATCTATTTCAATTAATATGGATACTGTCATAATAAGAACTTTAATCTTTGCAAGATGTTTCAAAGAATAGTATAGAAAAGAAGGTGGCTGGTTCATTGACACATGAAAGTGAATTCTATCAAGTCTTTTTTTTTTTTTTTTCCCCTGACAGCAGCTGATCCAACCCATTTTCAAACCACAATTATGAAAGTGTGAGAGAATGTACTAAATTTCAGGTACAACTGTACTCCATTTGCTTTCTTCCCCCACTCTCCAAATTAGGAGTGAGGAGTTTCAATACTGTAATGGTGGATTCCTTCTTAGAAAAAGAAAAAGGAGACAAAGAATCTCCCTAAAAGATATGGTATCACAAACATCACAGCAAGGAGAATTTCAAAATCTCATTCAAATTAAATGTGAGATCCTCTATTTAAAACAATCAAATTGCTTAAAATTTAATACAGAATTATTTTTTAAAACAATGTTACACTTCACGTCACCCATGGGCAGATACTGACCTGCAGAATATATCAAGCCTACCATAAATCCAGCTGGCTCTTTAATTTCAGAATAGTCAAGACATAGTCACTGTGATCTTGTACAGGAAAATAAGCAAGCTCCCTCAAACAGCCGCCCACATTTTAAGGAATTAGAAGTGGAGTACACTTACACACAGACACAGAAAAATGGTTTTTAATTTGTGAAGTCACCATAAATATTCATAAAATATAACACAGCACTATGCCACCTGAAGGAATCCCAGTTCTCCCCGCTCTTCACATGTGTGTTATGGGAGTAATCACATTTTTTCCTTCTCTCCACTCAATTTATGGAAGTAATCACATTTTTTCCCTTTCTCCACTCGCTTAATATAATCAATGTACATGTTTCCAAATCTAAACATTTCCAATTTGCCTATATCTACCCAGAGCGGGGTTTTTTGGGTTTGGTGGTTTTTTTTTTTTTTTGAGTATTCATTTCACACTTAAAATAGCAGCCAGCTTCAGGATCAGAAGTACTTAAGAGAATGGAAGAAAATAACACAACAAAAAGAAGGAAGGGGAAAAAAAAAAAAAAAAAAGACCTTTTGAAAGGTCTTTTTAAAGCCCTTTTGAAGCCCTGAGAGCCAAGGCCGGGTTTGGCGCTCGCTGCCCTTCCCTCCCGCACCTGAGCAGGCCGGATGCTCAAGGCCCCTTCCAGCGAGAACCGGCG